CACAGAATAAAAGCGCAGCGTCACTGCGACCAAGGTACGCTGCCAGTCGGTCGGTGGGTACGGCCGATAAATGACGCGGTCACAGACCGTCGATGACAGACCAAAGTCTATACTTCGTCTCACCCTACGATGGACTAAAGGCAAAAGCTACGGACCTCCAGATCCAATCACGAGCCACTTAGATATTTCGTGCATTGCCGTTTGATGCACGTATCAGTGCCGGCGTCTCAGATCACTCATGGGGATGGGCGGACAGTGGTTAGAATTGAATAGCAGTGAATGACTCAACAATGTTACATTGCAAAAAAAGCCACGACGTACAGGCTGTTTGCAGTAGTTTGCAGTTTCGAAGCTGTAGAAATGACGCAGTGCTTTTGGATTCGGAGCATTATTCGTCCACCCCTTATCAATGTTAAGGGTGTCATAGTTTAGCGTGGAACGTGATTGGACCTGGCAACCCATGGCTTTGGCCTTTAGTCCATCGTAGGGTGAGACGAAGTATAGTTAGCAGATTTGCGACGGTTGCCTTCGCAGCAACCAAAACGACAGAAACGATCGGAACAACCGTGACTCACGACTGCTTCGCGAAGCTAGGTCCTGCATCGCGTGCCACGTCGAGTACGGCGGACACTTGTCCCGGTAACTTTTAGTCGTTGCTGTGATTTCGGTTTTTGCGAACATAATCGACACGAATGTGTGAACCAGCCAGACTTGTGCCTAGATACTGTATTTCAAATACTTTTTGAAGTATCTTGGTATCTTGCAAATACTTTTGATCGAGAGTATTTGATACTGTATTTTAATAACATTTCTGAGCGTGTTATACTCATTATCTCACAATACATTTTTGACATAGCGCCATTTTCCAAGTTTTTCAGTATGATGTGGCGTGGGCATGGCACGAGCAAACGTGAACATTGTTTCGAGCAACCAAATCCTGTTGCTAGCTCCGATAAGCTACGGTAGCTTAGACTGAGCTCGTGAAAATATTGCTTTTGTGCCGATTATGACTCCCATTTCACCCCGAAGTTCGTACAATGAGGGTTTTCCCCTCGCCTTCCCAAAGGTGCGCTTTGTTTTCTAGAGTTTGTCCAAAAAGATCCTCAAACAGAAGGGGTGGTTTTAAGGAAGTAAAGATTGCCACAATGAGGCGCAACACAGAACGGAAAACAACCCACAACAGCAATGCAGACTTCAGCATCAAGAAAATAACAAATAAAAAAAAAAATAAGAAGTGGACAAAAAAAAAAAAAAAAACACTTTTTTTTTGCTTGTAGATTTGACCACGGCCAAACGGCGAGGTTTTTTTTTATTTATTTTTCTTTTTGTTGTCAGTGCGGCACTTATTGCTCTCGCGAACACTGTCTGTAAGCGAACATTGATAAGGAGAGTACAGGACAATAGACGGACATGATTAAAATAGCGCAAACTTGACAAGGACAACAAAGAAGGCACACGTACAACAGAACTGGCGCTTACTTCCAACTAAGTTTATTTCATCATGGTATTTATTGCTTGGTTGATGATGAAATAAACTTAGTTGGAAGTAAGCGCCAGTTCTGTTGTACGTGTGCCTTCTTTGCTGTCCTTGTCAAGTTTGCGCTATTTTAATCATGTCTAGTAAGAACCAACTAGCCCAAACAAAAGTCGTTTTACAATAGACGGACTACGAGAAGGATTGCCTCTCGAAATGCCAACAAAGAGTCCCCCAACACTGAGTGCCTTTCTGAACGCAACCTACTTGAGGAAGGTGGGCTCTCCTCTCTGTTATCCTTTCACTCATTTCCGTATCCCAAGTTCTGTTGTAGTCAACTCCCCATATAGGGAATATGAATTGTAGTTAAACGATGTATCTAAGATGCGCCACAGGATGTTATATTGAACGATGTCATTGTAACTGAAATTACCTTTTTGTTTTGTACCGGAAATGTTTTATAACATGTATCAGTGATATCCTGTTCCTTATAGTTAAATTGAAAAAAAAAACTATAATGTCTTTTTGGTTGTTGTTTTTTTGTGCAATTTTGTGCTTTTGCGTGCTAATAACCCATTCTGGTAAACCAGACTTGTGCAACTGTATAATTGTGCTTGTCACTGACGTCGACACAAATTACTCAGTGCGGAAGTATGTTCAAAAATAATTGAATTATATTTCTAAGTATGTGTACTGTACTCAAGATACTTACAGTGAAAGTAACTTGAATAGTATTTTAAGTACTTTAGGACGCAGGTATTGAGTAACAACTACATTTATCCAGTATTTTGTCCAACACTGGAACCAGCCTACCGGGGACGCCAATGCCGCTTCGGCGCAATACACGTGCGCAATGAACGCAGAGAAGATGCAGAAGGGGAGGGAAGCGTTCGCAAAACACTCGCGCGAACGAGTTCCTCCCGTTGTCAGAACCCAAGCACCGGAGCTGCACGCGCGAAGCCATCGAGCAGGGGACACCGCTCAACTCGCGCCATCCATATCACGAGTGGCGTCGGCAGTCGACGCGAGAGCCGAGTGCACGAGGGCAACTTAAGAACGCTTACACATTGAGCGACGAACTCCAAACGAAACGTTTATCCACGGGGCAGACGTGAGCGTTGTGTTCGATAAAGCACGGTCCCGCGAAACCACGGATGGGCAGGACCCGGCCAAGCACATCACGCAATAAGAGCGAACCAGACCCTTTTGAAAAGTGCCTCGAGCAACATCGATGGTCGCCATTTCTGGGTCCCGGAGAGCGTGATTGGATCCAAGTCGTCCCCGAACGCTGACGTCACATCTCGTGTCCAATCCGTGGTCAGGAGATCAAGCAGTGACGGGCAGGTCATGGCGCCGACTTTTCAAAAGGGTCTGGCTGCCGGTGGCCAGTGGCGTACCAACTTGTTTTTGAGTAAGGGGGCAAACCGGACCCCCCCCCCCCCCCTCCCCAGGGCCCCCCTTGGCATCCCTTGGGCGTAGCCGCCCGGTGTTTGCCCTGCCCAGTGCTGTGTCAGGGGGGAGGGGGGGGGGGGGGGGGGGCAAAGCACACGCCTTGTCCCCCCAACTCTGAGAACTGGAAAATCAAGCCCCCTTGCCCCCCCCCCCCCCCCCCCCCCCCCCCCCCGCGGTTGGTACGCCCCATGCCCGTCAAGATCATAATAAAAAGAAACACAAATAGGGGTTCCAGTCGAATCGCCAAGTGCCGCTCCAGAGTTTAACACCTTTAAAGGGACCGCTTGTGGCGTTCAGTGTTGCAGGCGTTACAAAAAAAAAAAAGTTACGAAATCCATAACTCGTTACTGGTAAACAAAAAGTGCGCGTTACCGACCTACGTTACCTCGAAATAAAAGGAACGCGTTACCGTTACTGGTAAAAAATATCGCACGTTACTGCTGCGTGACTTTTTATTTATGAATTACAACGTTTTACTGTTTTGACATAACAGGTATGCATAACGCCAAATCTCAGGAAACACGATGTCCATACAGAAACTTAACATAAAAAATTGGGGTTGTGGGGATATTTATACAGGCTGTAGTTAGTTGGTCAGCCATTTAAAGTTGCGACGAGTCACACGCTGTATATGAGCAATTTAGCCAGTGCAGTACAACCGCTAGCCTGGGGTCTTTAACGTGCACCACGCAGTAGTGATACATGACCGCACGCCGTTACGATGCTCATCCAGATCGAAACGGGCAGGGGTGGGGCTCGAACCCAGGATCCCTGGGTTCTGCAGCGCGAGCTTTCGCTCCACGCGCGTCGAGCTGGGTGTGCGCTTTAGCCCACTCGGCCACCGATCCCCCAAACTTAACATAGTTATCTTATCAAAACTTATAACATAGCGTGAAAAAAAAAAAAAAAAAAAAAAAAAAAAAACACAGGGACACCAATTAAACGGTACAAGCGCTACCTGACTTCATAATTATATTTTTATTACGGTTCCACCCGAATACTACTATCAAATCGAGAAAAAACGCGAAGTTCATTAGTTGGCGCCTAGAAACAAGAAAAAAAAAAAAATTGAAGTGTAACGTTTTGCAGTTCGGCAAAGGAGATCGAACGAGCAACGTAACGGCTTTACCCGATACCGAAATAAGCAACGTAAGCGCGCTATCCGTTACTGTTAACAATAAATAACGAGTACATGCATTACTACGTTGGCGAAGAAAAGTAAGGAGTACCGCAACGGGTAACGCCGTGACCTGTACGCATTACTACCAACAACACTGGCCGCGTGTTTCCCTCGCACTGTGAAGACTGCGAATGGTGCGAATCGGGATCACTACTCTCCTACCTCTAACTAAAATCGCTCGGTGCGCACTAGACGTTGAACGCTCGGTCACCGCCTCCTCGGAGGATGGTGGATCAGGCGGGGCGCGATCCACACAGCGCGATGCAGCCTCAGCCAGCACGTGCGCGGACGCGCGTCCGTCGGGCAGAGACCGGAGCACAAGGAGACTGCTCCGGCGGTTAATGGAGACGGCCGCTATTGATCAGCGCGGACAGGCACCGCACCGGCAGTCCGCTGATCAATACGAGTGCGGAGCCCCGGACGCCGGTCCGGGCCCACCGGCCGGCCGCTGCACCCGACGGCCTCCACGCCTCGTCGGCGGTCCGTGGTCGGAACCGCGGGTGCACCCGATGTTCGGAGCACTGGGCATGAAACGAGCGCCAGAACGAACGGCTTTTTGGGGTGAACACCGAGTGCGTTCCGCGTGCTTCACAGGCGGCTTGGCGACTTGGCGGCGGAGTCGGCCGCTCCTCTCTCTGTCCAGCTGTCTTCTTAGGGACCTGGCGTCTGACCGGCGCGGAACGGGCGGTGCGCTCTACGCGGACACCGAAGCCGCCTCGCGCTGCGTGCGGCGGCTCTCCGGGTCGGTCAAGGAACGCGCGTGGACCGGGAAGAGTCCGGCGCAAACCTGCTCAGCTCGGACGGCCCACGCCCACGGGGGCCGGCACGCGAGTGGTCGCGCGGCCGACGAGGAGCGGGGTGCGCGAGCTGGCGTCGTGGCCGGGCGGCACTCACCGTCGGTGGGGATGCCTCAGAGCATGTGCGTCGCCGCCGGTGGTGGCTGGAGGAGCGCTCACGGCCGCGCCGACGGTCTTCGCACGCGGTCGAGTGACTGCATGCTCCCTCGCCGCCCTCGTAGCGCGCGGACGGAATGAAAACGTGAAAATAAAGAAGGCGGGAGAGGGCGCGATTAACAAAACGATGACAGCGAGAAAGAGCAAAAGAGAGAGGGAGTGGTGCGAAACGTTGGTGCGAGTGCGTGAACGCATAGATAGACGCAGTCCTTGAAATCGGACGGCGGCTCGCGCCACCTAGCCAGTTGCCGACCTCTAGTGCAATATCGGCGAACTGCGAGGGTTCGTGCAAGAGGTGGCAGATGGCGCTCTGGAAATACGGATGCGGGAAATTTGGAAGGGGTCATGGCGCCAAGTTTAACTTCTGGCAATACCGTTCTGTGTATGGAATCTGATAACCAAGCAAAGCGAAAAGTACTAAAGATGTTTGTGTGCATAGACTGGCGTTGGGAGCGCATGGTAAAACACCACACCACAAGATGGTATGGGATCGTCATTCTTGGAGTGCAGGAAAAATGTTGCGGCTCCACCCACAAGCGTAATCCGCCCGCTTGAAGTTACTCCGGCGTCTAGAACATAACCCCCAGCAAAGCCGCTTTTTCCCTCTCCAGAAAGCGTCTTTTAGCAACTACATTATTCAGATGATTAATTCAGTACACCTAAAGGAGTTAAAATTCTTCATTTTCAACGGAAGGGCTAGTCATGTCTAGTTACCCGCATACGCAAAGTTCTGAACGTCTACGCGCGTCAGACGTTCAGAACTTTGGTGCGGCGTCGATTCTTGATTGGTATCAGTTAAAGTTGTTTGTTGTTTGCTCCTCCCGGTGGTGTGGGAGGCAGGTTCCGCTCCGATGGTCTGAAGCGTGGAGGCAAGAACGTCGCTGAGTGACGGGTCGACTCACTGCTTGAATAGCACTATGTGCATTTATTTACACTCTAGTTACAAGTCCCAACTTGGGAGACCATCCCGCCTCGTCTAAAGTCTCGACCCCCGTCACCAATTTCTCTCCATCACATCCAACGTCCGTATCCCCCAAAATCCTCTCCGCACTCTTTTTGTAGGCCCGTAGGGGCCTCCTTTCCCCTCAGGAACCGACCAATCTCTTCAAATTCCACCACTCACACGTGGTACACTGTTCTCCAATGGTCGGCGAGTTGTCATCCTGGCGCTCCAACCGCCAACCCTAAATTCCTTGTAGAGTTGTTCTCTGCAATTTTCCCAGTCTGACTGGCGCCAACCGCTAAATTATTGCATCGGGCAAAGAACGACAATTTTACACTAAGCGGCAAAACCCTCTGTACACCGGCACACTCGGTTAACATCCACAAGCAGCGGCAAGAATGGGCTGTCCCAGGGATCTGTCCGAGCAGACTCCCGAAACCCGAGACGTTCCTTAACGACCGCGGGGGAACCACTCTCGCATCTCGGCCGCTCTGCCCACGCAAAGGCTCCCTCCAAAACCCCGACACCCACAGAGAAAGCTAAAAAAACAATGCCGACGGAACTCTGGAAAGTTCTAACAAAAGAAAACACCTTAATAAATAAGCATGACTTCTATATACTTAACTGTATCCAAGCGTGCGAACGCACAAAGATGCAGCACTCGGCGTGCCAAAGAAGCTTTGCTCACGCCGCGAGACCGGCGACACTTGCTTTCGACGAGTTCTGCCTTTCTCCTGCGGCGAGCGCACCCAGCGGCCAGTATAGTCCCTAGTTGACTGTTGAATGGATGGATACACGCAGTAACCGCTGGCCAAATGAAGGAATGGATTCAAGGCGAGTTCTGGCGGTATTTTTGTACCGGGCAGTAGCATGCGCCCTCTAGTTTGACGAGTCAGTGTTATTGTAACGAGCATGGTTTTTGTTTAAAACAGAATTGTTTTATAAGCATACCTTAATTGTACTGCAGAAGAAAAGTCATCCAGCGCTACATATAATTCCAACTGACCGCATATCGAAAAGGATATTTTCACATTTGTGCTAACTCTCTTAAAGGGACGACATGGGACGACACCAAGGTTTCACACACAAAAGAATTTATTTTTGTAACTATGACAAGCAAAACAAACATCAACTCTGAAGACACGGAGTGATGTATGTTATTCATACATTACAAAAATAAGAATAATACACATGCAAATTGTACGAATAACGCCTCAGCAGTTGTACACTGCAAAAAAAAAAAAAAAAGAACTGCATTACAGCGAGACTTACAGCGACAAATGCCATATAATGGAGGGTATTAAAAAAATTACCGTCCAAGTTCCATGAAAGGCGCTTGCACGTATGACCATGTGCTGAAAGACGCTTGCACACATATGACTGGCCCAGTGGCTTCTTAATTCAGTGACCGTCAACAAAAAACCAGTCACAATACTTCTTACCTATACCGTATACCATTACCGCAAGGGAAAAATTACTAAAAACCCGCACTAGACAACAAACCGCGGAACCAACTTAACCCACACAACGAGGCAAGAGACACAGACCAAGCAGCCGAAGTATCCGCCCTCCGTCGAGTCCACGACTCCGAAGCCAACCGTCGCGCCGCAGCCGTAGCCACAGCCGTTGTCCGTAAGTCCGTCATAATTTTAAAAGTTTACTCTATACAACGAAGTTATTTATTAATATTATATATCTGACAAATGTTCAGAATAAGTGGCACTGTTGCGCCTACTAACGGCCAGTAGAGTCCCTAACTACTGGGCCGCGAAACGGCTTGAAGACCTTTGCAAAAAGAGCGCTCTGGCCGTCGCCATTTTGCGAATCGAGCGACCCCTATCAGCTAGAAATTTCTGGCACCCGCCTGAGCTGTGGAAACCCGGTCAGCGTGACTCCCCACCTGCATTTTGCATTCGGAGTTCGGCGGCTTTTCTTTGAAGTTTTTATTCTATATGCCTGTTTAGGATGCTTACCCTTTGTATGTTATCTTCCACTGTGAGAACCAGGGAATACCAGGGTAGCTAAACTCGTGGAGCAAAACCTTCTTCGCTTTTTGACGTAGTGGGGGGAGTGACCAAAAGAGCGCCGCAAAGTTTCCTCCGCCCTGCGCGCGCTCAACTTCGCAACTTTTGACGAAAAATCCCCCGCGATCCCTAGGCGGTGCACGAGAGCACGAGGCAGCGCGGGGAGGCGAGCGTTCACGCCGCTCGCTGTAAGTACGTTGTCTTTGAGCGCTCTAGCGCCGACAATCCCGTCATGCCTCGCCCAGACAAGGAGCGAGAGCAGACGACGAGAGTTCGTCTGCTACGATGCGGCATTCGCACAGTGGAACTGAAAGAAAAAGTTGGTTTTCTGCTCGAAATTGCGTCCCGCGGGCCACAAACTCAAACGCGAGCTTGAATTGTAAGCGTCTGATATTTCATAAAGGGAGGAATCGACGGCCCGGGTTTTATTTGCAAAATTTGAGTCGTTTTGTAGCCGTACAGACGCTGAAACCTAGCAGTGTGTAATGAAAGGCCCAGGACAACCACAGAGGCCGCGAGATCTAGCATCATTTGTGTATGGGTGAAAAGTGGAACATTTTTCGACAAAGCTCCCACAGCAGAAACCTGTGACGGATTCACTCAGCGTCCGGGAAGGCTAAACATGGAGACGTTGCCCGAGACTCAAGCAAAGTCATATTTAAGCGGCAGCTATCTTGCCCCGTCTTATTTTGTTGTGAGAAAGCTCTCGTTCTCAATGCTCTCACCAGGGAAATAAAAAGTCTTACGAAACGTACTGCTAGATGTTCCAAAGAACTAGATTTAAGCCGTATCCTTTCAGTGGTTCACTCATAATACTATGCGTAAAACGAAGCAAGCTCTTGCGCGTACAGTGAGTCAATTTTCTCAAGTATATGCTGTTTTGTAGTCAGCTGGTTTCGGAAACTTAGGCCCTCTGTAGATATCTCCGACAGCCGACTTGCTTCATTGGAAGTCATCGCAAATGGAAGTTCCACGTTGCAGCAACCAACATTTATAGATAAACGATGGCAGCGACTGGGCACTCTCGCATTCCCACCCATCACGTCGAACAAAAAGGCGCTAGTTTCGGTTTAAGGTCGGTACTTTTCTACATCTATGGCGACAGCATCAGTCTGCATTCGGCAAGCTCGTTCGGGGCCGGTTCTGCATGCAGCACTCCGCGGGTGCAACGCGTTAGAACACTACAGTGCAAGTCTGGATCGCGAATCGGGAGCCCGTCAGTGGCCTTACCGGCGGCCATTGCTTGACGACAGGCAATACGCCGCGTCCTGTATAGTTCTCCCTTCGTTTTCGTCCTTGTTATTTTGGCCTATCACACCATGATGCAATACACGCAAGTCTAAGGGAGAAACAAGCAAAAATTGGAAGCTTGTACGTGGTGCCCGAGGGCGAGTATTTTATGACGTGCTGCGATGATTATGTCGGGTTCTTGGAGATAATAGACATTCGTCAAGCGTTTAAACATCGATTAAAAAAAATCGGCCGGAGCACCATTGACTTTACCGACGTCGCTTGCTTCGGTTGCTAAATAAATGGCACGTTCAGCGACTGAACAGCACGCTACGAGTTTCAGTTTGTCACGGAAACCCTCACAGCAGTTCAAAGAAAAAGCTTTCACCATGAAGTACTATATACAAGCGGTTAAAACGATGCAAATGTCCCCAGTAAACGCATTCTAACTTATTGTTTGCTGAGCTTTGATGACTCCGAAACCACAATAACTCTCGGTAGCCGTTGTCTCATTAAACACATCACAGTTAACGCCCAACAAAGTCGCCCTCGATCCTCAACCACACAACATTTAGTTAAACAAGATTGGTGTTCTAAGGCGTTTAATATTCTTGACCAAAATATTGACTGTTATTTGCGGAAACACGATAGAAGTTTCATGGTAGAGAACAACCTACTAGCGTAATAAAACTGAGTTTTCCCGCTTCTCCTATAGCATGCATAAGATCGTGTCAAGCGATGACTGCCGGTGCATGGTGCCGCTCGACCCCAGCAATACAGGCCTCTATCCGCGATCTAGCCTCCTAAGAAATCAGTGGTGCCAGTGCTATTAGACACAAATCGTTTATTTGCATCGGTGCACTTATACCTGCCGGATGTCGGGACGAGGCGCAAAACCGTACATCCGGCCAATATTGAAGCCGGTTATCGGCCGAAATTGCCTTGACACTCGCC